AACCCTAAACCCTAAGCCCGACACCCGAGGCCCTAAACCTTCTTTCTGGATGTAGATCTTACGCTTGGATGGAGTCTTAGACTCAGGGTTTTTGGGTGTTCAGGCTTAGCGCCGGGGAAGGCTGAGGTGAAAGGTTACGGGTTTAGGGCATAGGGTTTAGGGTTTCGGGTTTAGGGCTTCGGGTTTCGGGTTTAGCGTTTAGGGCTTAGGGTTTAGGGGTTGAGTTAAGGGTTCGAAGGTGTCATGTCAAGCACGGAGCAGGGGCAGAGAATGCAAGGTTGACGTTGAACGGTCAAAGTTTACTTAGCGGCTGAGGCTGTAGGGTTAAGAGTAGCAGCCTCACTATCCCACGGCCCTTGGTTGTCTCGGGGGCTATACCGCTCTTATAACGCCCTTCCTGGCATGAGGAATCCCAATAGATGGTCATGAAAGAAACATGTCTTATCAATCACGGGTCTACATCAAGCTGTTGCTTCTGTTCAGTTCTTCGCTCTTGAAGCCACAATCAGAAAGGATCTCACATCCACGATGCCAATCATAGTACCCTGTAGTGATACTCCTACGCTAACCTTGTACTGCCCTTTTAGAAACCCACATACTCGTATAACACCCTAAAACTCTGAGCCTTAAACCCTGAACCCTAATCCCGAAGCCCCTTTACAGAAACCCTGACACTCAGATCGATTTTTCCGAAAATAGGGGACTCTAGTATAGTACCTAAATAGCAGGATCCTATAAGGACCCCAAAATAAGGTACCCCTTGTTTTCGGAAACGCTCATTTAAGGACATGTTTTTGGCCGCAGAGGCACGGCGCTAGCCTGGTGCTTCACTGCTTCAGGCGCGGCTTAAAGGTCAAACTGAATCCCTACACCTACAGCACTAAACCCTTAAGCCCCTAGACCCCTAAATTTGGGTTTTAGGGTTTAGGGTTTAGGGAACCCGAAACCCTAGACCGATAGATCATGAGCAATTGAAGTTACGAGCTTCGCGAAGTCAAGACCCACAGCACCAAGTGCCCCAGTCCCGCAAACTCTCACTCAAACGCGCGCAGCCCCTGCGCACTAAGGGGCTTGGGTGTGATATTACAGATATCGCCCTGCCCTGATTGAGGCCCTGAACCCTAAACCCTAAATCGAATTCGGGGATTCAATGATTCGGAGTTCAGAGAAGGCGTTTCCACGCTGTGGTGTGTGCTTGATTCAGTCAAAACTTCGGCTTGAGGGTTGTGGGATTTGGGAGTTCTTCGCCCTCTTGGGTTTAGGGTTTAGGGTTTAGGGCTTAGGGTTTAGGGTTTAGGGTGTAGGGCTTAGGGTTTAGGGTTGTTTAGGGTTTAGGGTTGAGGGCTGAGGGTTGTTTAGGGTTTAGGGTTCCGTCAGAAAGCCAAGTTGTGTTGGGCGTATTGGTTTCGGACCTCGAGCTCCAGCTGCCGTCACGCCCTCTACCGAGATCCCGCCGACACGAAGGTTACAAGAGGGCTTAGGGTTTGGGGGTTTAGGGGTTTAGTGGTTTAGGGCTGAGGGCCTTAACCCGTTTAGGGTTTAGGGTTTAGGGCTTAGGGTTTGGGGGTTTAGGGGTTTTAGGGTTGAGGGCTTAGTCATCCTCTAGGGTTCAGGTTTAGGGTTTAGGGCTTATAGGTTTTACAGGGTTTAGGGAGTCATAGAAAATGCGATATACCACGAAGCCCTATTCTATGTACTTGGGCCCCCTATATTACCTTAAGGTCCAGAGACTAAAAACCCAAAGTATGCACTCACCATTATACCCAAGCAGCCCCACGATCTACGCGCAGCAAGTCCCAAAAGAAAACTACTTGAATATAGGGGCCTTAATCATTACCTATAGTAGTTCGTTCGGGGAGGGTCCTGATCAGTATAGGGTTTGAGGGGATCATATATCATAATTAGACTAAGGAGGCCCCAAAATAGTATAGGGAATGATTTAGGCCGCTATAGTAGGTGTTTAGGACGGCGGGCTTGGGACTTAGTAGGATTGGGGGCTTGGGGTCTAGGGTTTAAGGTTGAGGCTACTCCTCCTTCATTTGCCTATTTGCCTAAAGAAAAAGGGGAAGTCCAGTATAAGCGGCGCAGCCTCCTATACGAAACCATCAGCACCTGAGTAGACACAGCATAAGCCGGCCTGCGCGTAAAACCAGATAGAATTGCTTGAAAAATGCAATGCAGGGATAGTATGCCCCAATGAACCCTAACCCTAAACCCTAAACCCTAAACCCTAACCCTAAACCCTAAACCCTAAACCCTAACCCTAAACCCTAAACCCTAAACCCTAACCCTAAACCCTGCCTGAACACCTAACCCTGAGAACCCGAAAGTCTCAAACCCTTGAACCTTCAAACCCTCAATCCGTAAGGCTCCAAAACCCCAAAGACAACAAAGACGTAATAACTTCCCCTTGTAGTCCGTAAATACACCATAGTAGACCCGACAACCCCGTTCTATGCATGAAGGCATCTATACCAAACCCTGTTCAACAAAGCCTATCATGAAACCCTTATAGCACCATTATGAAGACCCTTAAAGCCTTACAGAAAGCCTATCATGAAATCCTTTATGAAGACCCTTAAAGCCTTAAACTTTGGTCGAGTCTCTTCGAGCACTTCTGCTTCAGGAAGCGCCATGCGCCTCCCGTCTGGGAGAAGAACTCCTGCGAGCATGGCGGGGTGTGCGTGTGTATCATGTATTCCCTGGTTAGGCGGTTTGGGGTTAAGGGTTTAGGGCTTTAGGGGTTTGGCGTTTAGGGTTTAGGGCTTTAGGGGTTTGGGGTTTAGGGTTTAGGGCTTTAGGGGTTTGGGGTTTTAGGTTCCCCAGTGTACCCTTCGTAATAAGGGTGCCCTTTCCCCTGTCATTGAGTCTTAATAAGGGAGCGCGAAAATCAAAAAGGGTAGAAGGGTACTATGTACCGGGGAACCTAGTGTAAAAATCGCTTCGTAAGCCTAAACCCTAAACCCTAAACCCGAAGCCGTGGCGTGCTAGCATCCAGAGTTTGGGGCTTAGCGTTTAGGGTTTGGGGCAGATCAGAGCTTAGGAATTGGGGTTAGGGTTTTGAGTTTCGGGTTTAAGATTTGAGATTTGGGATAGAGTAGGGCTTGTCATAAGGTGTCACATGGTCTGCAACCCGGTTTCACACGGCGTAGGCTTCATCCGGGTTTTTATGGGCAAGAAGGGAGACACATAGCTTTTCGGGCTCCGCATGAATTTTGGTCGGAGCTCCAGTGTGAATAGATGCGGCAACCCTGATAGCAATGAATGCCTCAAACGGGTGAACAGTGTTTGTGCAGGTAGGTTTCCTGATTCGCGCATCTAGCTCTAACCCTGCATCACCTGAACCCAGGGCAAACTTTCATTGCCTGCGCTCTGAGGGAGGTGCTGTGGTGTATCCTTCCGCTGCCATGTCCCAGGGCTTGCCATAGACCTTTCGGACTTACGTTTTTTTTTCTACGGTTTAGGTTTAGGGTTTATGAGTTTAAGGTTTAGGGTTTAGGGTTTACGGTTTAGGGTTTATAAGTTTAAGGTTTAGGGTTTAGGGTTTACGGTTTAGGGTTTAAGGTTTGGGGTTTAGGGTTGGGGGTTGAGGGTTGCAACCAAAGGCTGCCCCTGTCAGCAGAGGCAGGGGCGCCTTTTGGGTCCATAGTTTCTGGCTTGGGGTTTAGGGTTTCGGGTTTAGGGTTTAAGGTTCAGGGTTCATGGTTTAAGGTTCAGGGTTCAGGGTTCAGGGTTTAGGGTTTGTAGGGTTTAGGGATAGGGTTCAAAGTTTAGGGTTTAGGGTTGAGGGATATTTTTCGGGGTTTAACAACCACCAGACAGAAAGCCACACTCTACAAAAACACCACAGCAAGAATTCGAATGGACCCCGACACGGCTCTGAGACCCGCTATAACATCCTCTACGAAGGGGTCTGATAGTTGGAAAAGCGTGTTGGAGGGGCATATAAAGGGACGATACTTGGAGGATTATGCTTAGTAACTAGGGTTATAAATAAGGTAACTATACTTTTAAGTAAATATAACCCCAATTAAGGTAGTTATAAGTTATAACCTTACTTACTAAGTCCCATGATCCTCCAAGTAAGGGAGATGCTTACTAATCAGGACCAAGCCCTACCTTCCGCCCGACAGAACCGCATAAACCCACTTAAGAGAAGACTATAGGTAGTTCTCTAAACTAGGGTCCGGCTGTAAGTCCCCAATATAGCACGGCACCCTTATAGAAAGCACGCTACAAGGGACCCTAATTTAGAGAACTACCCATAATTATACTCAAAACCCTATAGAATCCTTAGAGCACCCTTATAGAAACCTTATAGATCCCTTTAAGGATCCCTTTAAGTTCCCTAAACCCTAAACCCTAAACCCTAAACCCTAAACCCTATAGATCCCTTTAAGGATCCCTGTACGGAAATTTCTTACACCCACTGACTCACAGCCTTCCTCTCTCTGCCAAGTCGCGTGGACGCGGGTGACGGGCTGCCATGCCGAGGTAGGCGTCTGACGTGTTTTTTGGTTGGGGTTTCATAGTGTTTTGTTGGGGTTTCATGGTGTTTTGTTGGGGTTTCATGGTGTTTTGTTGGGGTTTCATGGTGTTTTGTTGGGGGTTTCATAGTGTGTTTTGTAAGGGTCGCTTCGTGTTTTGGTAAGAACTCCTTAAAGATCTTGTGGGATTCCCTAATGCTTGTAATGATTTTGTTTTTGAATTCGGGCCTTTGGATTCATGGGTTGGGGTTCAGGGTTTTGCTTAGGAGTGTTATAGACGTCGGTACTGAAGTTGAGTTTCCAGCCAGTAGCCTGACTGGGAACAGTAAGACTCTGAGGGGGCACGATGCTCTTAAAGGAGTGCAAAGGAGTGGTCAGCTATTGTCTGGGACTCCTACATGAATCAATTGCTTTGGATATAAAACCTCAGGCTAAACCTAGGAACACAAATCTTGGGGTAGTTGGGGGGGGTGTTTGTTTTGTGGCTGCAGCCAACACTCGAGTCCCTTGTCAAAAGCCCTAAACCCGAAACCTTAAACCCTAAACCCCCCGTCGCACCTCCCCGGCGTCCCCGGCAGCCTTGCCGACGACCTGAGCGCTGTCGACCTTGGGTCTGGAGTACTAGGGGGTTCCTTGAAAGGGTTTCCTTAAAGGTTTCTATAAAGGCTACTATACGGGTTTAGGGTTTAGGGGCCTTAATAATTAGAATAGGGTTTTGGGGTAGATTATACTATAATCAGAATAAGGAGCCTCCAAAATAGTATTGGTAATTATTGAGGCCCCGATATTACTATATAGGGGCCCTATGAATTAGAATAACGTTTTTTGGGTGTGTGTGTGTGTGCGGACACTGGTGCGCTGACTTTTGCATCTGCCGAACTCTCGGAATAGGATTCTGGAGCTTAGGGTTTAGGGTTTGGGGGTTTAGGGTTGAGGGTGTAGGGTGATATGTTATACTATACCCATAACAACGAACCATAAGGAATAGGGTCTGGAGTACTGATTCTGTAGCTCAAGGTTTGTCTGTATTCATATGGGTGGTTCTCTAAATTAGGGTCCCCTGTACGGTCCTTGTCAAAAAAATTAAAAAGCGTGCCGCACAATTTGGGGGGAGCTAAGAAGAGACCCTAAGTTAGAGAACTACCCATAAGTATATTTATGTGCTATAATGCTTTACGTAATAGAAGGGTTTAAGGGACAATAGGAGGGACCCCTAGAAGGGACCCTTAATCCAAATACCCTATATAGCCCTTATATACCCCTTATGTAGTCTCATAAAGCCCCTATATAACCCCAAGGGTCCCTTTCAGGGTTCCTCCTTTGGTCCCTTGAGGGATAGCGCCCTCAGCCCTAAGCCCTAAACCAGGCTTCCATGCAGAATGCAGTCCTGCGGTGGAGAGAGCTGGCTTTGAAACCGGTCTAGGGACGTGGGTTTGCAATAAGACGGTTCAGGGTTTAGGGTTTACTTAGGGTTTAGGGTTGAGAGTTTACTTAGGGTTTAGGATTTAGGATTTAGGGTTTAGGGGCATCCTAGGGGACGGAAAGCTTGACCTTTGGGGTTGTACAGGGGTTATAGTACCACGAAGAGGTTAAGGGATGTTAAGGTTTACCTACCCCACGACTCAGTAGGTCTTCAGGTGTGAGGGTTTAGAGTGCCACACTCGACCCAGCGAGTAACAAAAGGGAACACTGACTCCTATCCAAGCCTTCCGCATGCTCGAAACCCTGTGCCCCCAAACATAGTCCACAAAAAACAGATATCCCACATCCGGTCCGCAAGCAAGTGGCTCGAACCATAACAGTTCTACAACTTCCGGTCTAAAACGCTCCTGCATGAAACCGTCGTTGCTGGCCTATGTCAGGCAGAGACTTCGTGCCATGTTGTTAGGCGTGTGGGTTTTTTCTGAACTCGGACTGTGGCCACCACATCCGAGTCCGCAATGCCCAGTCTCCGTCAAGTATCCACACCTTTCCATTTCCTGCTTTTTCTCGTGAACCTCTACCAGAGACGTCGTCATGATCGCCTGGTCCATCAGACATCCACTAAGTCTGGTATGTTTGCATTCTCCGCTAAACCCTAAACTCTAGACTCCAAACCCTAAACCCTAAACCCAAATGCTCTCGCCCAGCGATATCCCGGGAGTGTTCGGGTTTTCTTGGGACTCGAGTTCCCCATAATGTGCTATTGGGAGGCCAGGAAGTTCCTCGACCGATCCTTCACGGACATCTACAAGCAACCAAACCCTACATAGGTTTAGCCCTCAGCGCTGCCAGCCCCTGAACCAGCACCCAACTTGAAAACAAAAACAAGTAATCAAGAGGGCTGGCGATCCTAGGGTTTAGGGTTTAGTAGACTGGAAAAATGAAGCAAGACAGCCCCTGCTAAAAACGCTATCCGAAGGCTCAAGGCCCTTACATTACCCTAAACCCTAAACCCTAAACCCTAAACCCTAAATCAAAATTAGGCCCCCGGGCCGTCCCGACGGCGCCGCTCGCTGGGCGAACCAGTCCACTTCCGTCGAAGGTCCACATGATCTTGGCTTCAGCTTAGGGTCGGGGCTCCGGGTTCCATAATCGGAGCTCTAACCCTAATTAATATCGGGGCCGTAATAATCAGAATAGGGTTTTGGGGCTTATTATACTATAATTCTAATAAGGAACCCCCAAAAGAATATAGGTAATTATTTAGGACCTAGCCTAATTAAACCCTACACCCAAACCTGGGTTTTCGTCCGGTGCTATACGTGTAAGCTTTCAGTGCTGTTTTGGGGCTTGAGGGGGGATCTTGGAGGTTGAGGCTGCTGATGCTTCTTGGCTTCGACTTGCCAAGCTGCGTTTGAACAGTCAAGGGTTCAGGGTTGATGCCTTGGCCCTCAGACTCATAATACGGGGACCCATCCTCACGGAAAAAATGACTTGTGGTACATTGTAGTATAATCATGTAGGTAATTTAGACTGAGATTTAAGCCTTAGTGTTCAGGGTCGTTCAGGTGGTAACAGCCAAAGGGGCTGAGGGAATTAAATATCTTATACAGACCCGAGCGGCCATGACAAAGCCCTGCAAAAAGAACACTAAGGTGTTCCGCGCCTTGCTAGATTCCGAGGCTACAGCACGCCATGCCATATCCAATTTAGGATTTGACAGTTCCGGATTCAATCATACAATATTGAGGACAGCGCATTATATTGAGGACAGCGCATTACTACTATGGCTCCCCTGCTACGATGGCTGGGCCCAAGGCCACACCCTCGCCATTGCGCACGTTCTGCAGCCCGTGCTTGTCCATGAGCTCCTTCATGTCTGAAAGCTTTATGCTCTAAGTATAGGCTGAACGCCGAAAGTCTAAACTCAACGTTCTAGATTCCCTTAGGCTCTAGACCTGCCACAACTAGTCCCAAACACGCCTCACCATGCTACTGGCCGTCCCTGCACCAAGATTGCACTGTACGTAACTGTGCAGCACACGAAGAGGAATGGCAAAGACCACAACGACAAGTTCAGACGACCGGAAGAGGAAGTTCGGGTCTGGTGTTTGGGAGGTTAGGATACCGAAAGTGCCGAAGAGGCCTTCCAAAGAATCACATATTGAGGCAACGGCATACATGAACAAGTATCTTACATCTGCCTTCCTCTTGAGGGCTGCTGCAAGTGCACCCGACCCTCCCAAGTCAGCATTCTTTGCACTCAAGCTACCACGATTCCATGAAAGGCTCGCTTGTCTTGACAGGCACATATGGCAGATCTTCAGGCCAATGCGCAGCACGCCCGGCAACGCAGAAGCAAGACCAAAGAGGACGGGTGAGCGAAACAGCAGGTGACTTTTCGGTGAAGATCGTAACTATCCAGTGTCCCAAAAATCCCGTTTGTTCCCGAAGAGGCCCCCCCAATTTGAAGTACCGTCGTGTCGCCCCCTAACCTGCAGTAGGTTACCTGTCCCCCCAACCCCATGCATGGATCCATAATGAAAACAGAATGCAGCATGCTATACTTTTTCCATGCCCATAGGCTCCATTCTAGTTCCTTTTGGGGGGGTACCTTGTAGGGATTCGAAAATACCAACCACAAAGAGGAACTACAACAGAGCCTATGGGTGAGAAGGTGCAAAAAAAAGTGTTTACAGCCTCGGAGCCTCAGGGTTTAGGGTTTAGGGGTTTAGGGTTTAGGGTTTAGGGTTTAGGGTTTAGGGTTTAGGGCTTCAGGCCTGGAGTTTTTGGGGGGAGTAGGCCGACAGAATCCTTCAGCCTTGAGCCTTAGGCCTGAAAGGCCCGTATCGATGCCGTTACTATATGGGTGGTTGTCAAAAT